TTCAAGCAAGTGTTTGAATATGCTTAGAGGGGTCCATTGTAAATATCTGCACAATTAAAGAAAGGCTTCAATACTTTCTTTCTAAATGCTGCATACCAAAAATAGACAACTCCTATCAGATCTTGGACTGCAGAATTTTAACAACATTGTGTGAAAAGTTTATAATAATTATAACCATTTGTAAGATGAAGTTCGGCCCCTGTGTTTATATTGGAAACAAAAGACTTAATCAGAAAGATGTTCAAAGGGAGTCCACTAAAATCCACACATGCCTGGGATTGTGCATTTAGCCTGTAAAGATCTATACCATCTTCAGTTTCCAGCTGTATTTACATACAGCAGTTGTGTGTTTCTACTATTCTAAAAGTTTATCTCAGCATTTACTATTTAATGTAGCATGCAGTGCTACACTGATACACACCATAACTCCAGTAACCTGATCTCATAGTTGAAATCATAGACTTAGTATCACTACAGCTAACTAAACGGATACTTTAAAAAACACCCCTGAAATCATCAAGTACAATCTTGGATGAAGGAATTTTTTTCTTTGTCGCCTAAAATCAATTTATACCAGCTTTTAAAAACCCTCAAATGCTACTGAGTTGTCTTAGCATCTTCTTAGAGTTCCTCAATGTAAAAAGGATGGTAGCAGCAGTGTATGTGTTATGTCATTGCAAGCCAATGCCCTCAAAACATTTGTGAGTACCATCTAACCAGAAGCATAAAATGGGATAAATGGCAGGAAAGAAGGGGTTAAACTTCAAGATTAGAGACTTCTGCTTCTATTTTTCCACTTTTACTTCCTCAAAGCAAAACTGTAGGCTAAACACCATTTCATCTTCCCCCATTTTTACCCAAAATTAGCCAGGACAAAAACTAAATTAATCTTAAGCATATGCTTGAAGTTAACAGGATAGAGGGATGCTGAAGTGTTGTCAATGACTTAAGACAGGCTTTGCTTTCCTGCTTTTTTTGAACTGAGGCCTGTGTCATTACACTCTGACTTAGCAGGCCTCTTCTTAAAATTGTGTTAGGTCACTGAGTTGCTGTTAGGCATTGCGTAGTCTTAAAATCAAAAGATACTGAATGTAAATACTATTGATGCCAGCAGACTCTGAGAAAACCGTGCAGAAGTTTATGGTTGTGAAGAAACCCTGAATTTAGCTTGGTTCATCTTACAAGGTCTGTTCTTTCCAAAGAAAGCGGAACACAGAGCCTGCAATATGCTGATGGAAACAACCTGTTGGAGAGATCAGAGACAGCATGCTGCAGAATGCCGCCAATCCCTCCCAGGCAAAAATAGGACTAAATAGGTTAGAAGGCAGTTTACAAAAGCTGGCATAAAAAGAGGCATACCGGCTTTAAAAAGATCCAAAGAACAGCAAACCAAAAATCTGTACATGTTACATAATTTGTGGTATAATAAGAAGTTTTTTTAAAAGATGAAGCTCTTTCTCAAGCAGGTAGCAATGCCACCTCCCAGAGGAAAAGGTGGTCAGGTACCAAACCACAGTAGAACTACCACGGCAACACAGCTGAAAGCACAGATGCTCCAGGCTAAAGGTCCCTTTTATAAGCAATATCACTGGGACAGTTAGAAGACTCAAACATAGAGAGAATTCTTATTTTAAAAAGCAGAACCATAAGGAATAAGAATTTAAAATTCAGTTTGACTTGAGACAGTTGCTTTTCTCTAGAACTGAAAATAAAGGGTTGTAGAAAGTATGAAAGTAAGCTATCTTGCTTCCTTTCTAAATGGCTTAATATAACTTAAATGGGGCAAAACTCTCAATTTGCAGGTCCGGTGTCAGGTCCCTTAAGAGTCAACCAGCTCTTTAACCTCTGTGAGAGGTAAATCCAACTACAATGGCTGGACACCAAAAATGCATTTTTTCAAGAAAACTTTAAATTTAACCAAATTTTAGCCTGAGAAACAGTTAAAATAATTGTCTAATAATAAAACCCCTCCCCTCGATAGGCAAAGCTATAGCACAAAACCATTTTCAGACCAAACCAGTTGTGCATGTAAATTTAATACTTGTTAATAAAGCCCAACGTTTAGAAAAAAAGAGAAATTAAGTAAAATGTACTGTTGAAAATGCCAATGATAATTTTACTTGTAACTAAACTACAGACTCCCCCCCCCCCAACCCAGCTTTAATTTTTTTTTTTCTAAACTTATAAAATCAGATCTGACAGTGGCAACTGACAGAACATACAGGAGCTTGAATGGCCATAGGAAAAAGTTCAGGTTAAAGGAAGCTTTGCACAGAGCTGAAGTAAAAGAGTAGCACAAAAAGTACTGCAAGGATCAACTTGACGGAAAGACCTCACAGTTCTCTCTGTGATTCACATATATGCTAAGGTGCAACTCTGCTTGGCAGTGCAGCTGAGTTTGGAGGATTTCCAAAACCAAATATTCTTTGTGATACGTCATTTAAAAAGTGAGAAAAGCAATAGAGCTCTTTATATAAGGGAAGATTTGGGGTTTCTACCTATTCCGCGTGTATAAACAACAACATCAAAAAAAAAAACCCAAAGCACTGTGCTTGGTACAGATATCTCTCTAAAAGGGTATTTGTTTTAAACCAGTAATATCTATCCACAGCAGATTTGGTGCATCTGCAACTAACTCAGACACAAATTCTCTTGGACATACAAAATGTTAATAAATTGGGCCAAAACACAGCCTCCTGACACAAACTATTCTACTGGTTTTGAGCTGCCAGCAAAAGATGCTTAAATGCAAGTATTTACAATATGTTTCTTATTACCAGCTATCAATTCAGTACCCAAGTCTACAGGCTATGATGAATAATTTACTGTAAAAAAAAAAAAAAGGGTAGGCCTAGAGAACAGTTTCACTGAGGTAGAAAAAATTTGTTAGAGCAACTCTGTTCCCATTTAAAAGCCAGCATTTGGAGTTCAGGGCTTTAGCTTCTATTTATCAAAGCCCTTAAGAATTTGTTTAATTCCAGTAGTTTCTGTAAGACTTTAATATGTTTTAAGATATTTTACTGAACAGGAGTACAACTATTCACAGAAGTAATACAGTATATTACTCAAGGGAATGGCTGCATTTCGTAGGTCTCCTGGGTAGAAAAGAAATCAATTTCAATAGACACTAAAAATAGATGGCTTTTCTCAGAGAGATGCATACCTTGTCCTCACATTCAAGCTTCTGTTTGGGTTTATACTTCATTGATGTTAACAAGGCTATTAATACAGAGCAATGTTTTATTGCTATATTCTATTTTTAAATGTCTATTTTTGAGTAAACCTTTCTCATAGCATCTTCCAGTCTCCATTTTACTTCTCAGTTCATAGGCTTTGCAATTGATAAAAATTACTAGGATTTCCTTGGCTGTGCAGTTTCAAAAACCAAAGCACCAGCTGTGCAGTAAGAGAACCACAACGTTTTTTCACTTCCTTTGCAATTTCTCAAAAGTCTTGACATCTTATTACAAAATTCAGTAAAGTAGGTCTTTCCCTCAAAACTATGTCAGCATAAATATGAATAGAATTCATAACTGGAAATGCAGTTTCAATTGGAACACAAAAGTAGTTACTCTGCTACTGTATATCCATCCAGCTCTTAGTTTACTTTCTCCTCTTTTATTTCACAAACTAAGATTTTTATAGTGTAAATAAATTAAGTCGTTGTGGAATTATTCCCAGCAGATCATCACATGCTAGCTACAATGGCAGGTATTGACATTCACATAGTATTTGCCTGGACCTCCCAGGTGCAAGCACAAATTAGAAATAATAAAAAAGAGAGAAGAATTCAAAGATACTTCACACCAGTCCTGAGTGTTTCTGCTGATAGGAGATTTTTTAAAATGCATATTCCTAGTTTATGTATAAACTTGGACATTTCACAGAGCTAGAGAATGAAGTAACTGATACAAAACTTCAGAAGTGTTCTCTGGTATCTGACTGTGGAGAAAAAGTGAAACTACTACATGAGTTTAGAGCATGGCAAAAAGCAGTTCTAAAGAATTTTTTTACAATATTTTTATTTCAAGTAGTACTTCTATTTAAAGGCCCATTATGGATTGTTTTACATAATTCCACTCACACAGCATACAAAAGAAACACGACTCTTTCTCAAAAACCCCTTAAACGCCACTCTTATTTCCAAAAATTGATTCAAAGCTTTTATAAGCATAGTAAAAGTGTGCATCAAATACTAAAGTAACAGCCCAACCTGCACTGGGAGTTCCCGAGAGAGCAAGCCTGACGAAGGAATTACCAAAGAAAGAGAAACGTTTTATGACAACATGTGGCCAACGCTTCTAAACCCTTAAGACGCTGACGCCCTTGGGCGGCAATCTGTCCCAATTTGCGATTCCCCCGAAAACACCGGGTGGGCATCCCGTCTTCTCCCTCAGCCTGCCCCTCTCCAGGGGCTGCTCCCATTGTCTCGGCGGACAGAACTCTCCCCGCGCCGTGGCTGCCCGGGGCCTGGCGGGATGTCCCGCTATGGCCCCGGCTGGAAGGGCCGCGGCCGCCGGGGAGCCCTCCCGGCCAGCGGCGGACCCGGCTCGGACAGCCCTTCCGAGCCCCGCCGCCGCCAGCCCGTCCTCCCCTCTCGGGACCGCCATGACTGTGCAGGATTCCCGGCTTCGGGGCAATTCTTCCCCGGGCGGGAGCAGCACCAGGCGGCAGCGGTCCAGGGGCGGACGGTCACTCGGTGCCCGGAGCCCGGGGGGCGGCCCCGGGAGGGCGGGCAGGGGCTGCCCCGGGGCGGCGGCGGGCGCAGTTGCCCGGGTGACCGTGTGGCATGCCCGGCCCCGCGGGGCCGCCGGCCGGGGCAGCGGGGCGGGAGCCCCGGCTCCGCTCGCACCGGTGCCCGGCGGACACGCCCCCGCCCCGCTGCCGTCGGCCCCCCGCTCCCCGCACCGGGGCTCCCGCTTGCCCCGCATTGTCCGTCCTCGCCGCCCGCCGGCTGCACCTGCCTGCTCCCGGCCCCTCTGCCGCCGCCCCGCACCTACCAGACGGAACCGTAGGCACCGGAGCCGACGGGGGTGAGGTTCTGGTAGCGCTGGGGCACCTCCCACACCGTCTTGTTCAGCTCCTGCCGGTAGAAGCCGCCGCGCTCGGACATCTTCCCGGAGCCGCCGCCGGCAGCGGCAGCAGCAGCGGCAGCCGCCCCTCAATCGAGGCGGGCACGGACGGCGCCGGCGGGGAGGAGGGACCGGGAGGGGAAGGGGAGGGGAAGGCGGAGGCCGAAGGGGTGGGGGCAGCGGCCAGGGCCGGTGGGGACGGGGTGGGCTTGGCGAAGGGGCCCAGGATCCCCGGGGCGGCACCCGGTGTCTTCCCGCGGGGCCACCCGGTAGGTTGCGGGGAGTGGCGAAGCGCCGATTCCAGCCCCGGAGCATCGCAGCCGGGGCGGTGACGGACCGGAGCGGCGGCCTCACCGCATCGGCCGCCCCTGCCCGAATGTGCGGGAAAGGCCCGCGCCGCCGCCTCTGCTCCCCGCGGGAGCGGCGGTGACGGGCAGACCCGGTCATCCCGCCCTTCCCCTGGTGTCTCTCGGGCTTTCTAAAGCCTTGCCGACACCTTTCTTACTTTGCTACGGCCACCTGAAGTTCCCCCTGGGCCCGCCAGGCTCCCCTCTTCCCCAGCTCCAGCTGCAGGTGACCCTGCGCTGGAGTATGGTCCGAGGGGCCAGTCCGGCCCCCGCTCACTGATGGAGCCCCGGGCAGGTCGGGGATTTGCTCGGAGTCCTCTGGTGCCTAGAATTTCCTCTTACCGCATTGACTTCCGCATGAAATCATCTGAGTCCTCTTTTCATCATTGAAGACTCGAGCCTTCAAGATAACAGATAGTCTTGAAGACTTTAAAAGTCCAAAATTCATGCACCAGTTAAAGTTTCTCTGACTACTTTACTGTGTGTTTTCTTCTCTCCAAAATGTACCTTACACAATATCTCAATGACCTATGAAATCATTGCAGCACTACTACAATGTTACCAGTATATTTCTTGATATATTGTTTCCTTCCATGGCTTCTTATGCTTCTTTGAGCACCTGTAAGTAACCTGTACATAGCCTGTTTGCATAGGTTCAGTGAGATTCCTTTACACCTACCTTTAAATAACTGTGGAATATAAATCCTTGCTTTCCAGAACCCTCCTATACCATGAATTGCTGTTCACTTTGACAAATAGCTGGTCAGTTTGTGCTTGGACATAATTGTGAGTGTAGAGAACACGTATATTTGAATAGTTCTGAGCATGATCAGACAGAAGACAAGTGTTACAGATGCTTCAAACACTGGATTTTTCAAGTTCTGGCTCTGAAACCTCAGCCCATGTTGCATGGCAGGATTTCCATACTAGGACTGTTTAGGTGAACAGCACCAGCAACTTGGCATTTGCTGGGTGCATTTAAAATAAAAAAATGCATGAATGGTACTACTATAGCTTTTTAACTGCAGATATCCACTCAAAGAGTACTAAGCGCTCCTAAAGCAATAGTCTAGTTCTCACTTCTACCCTGCTCTATTGCAGCAGACCTCTCCAGTTCTCTCCAGACTGTTCCTTGGTCCCACTTGAATTTCTATGCTGAGGGCATAGTGCTTGAAGAAAGTTAAAAGTGTAAAAAAATCTAAGAATACATTTATTTATCTTATTTTTCTCAGCACCACTGTATGGAGTTTTAAAAATTGGATAAAAGTGACACTACACCAAGCCAAGAAGAAATATTTCTGTCACTGCCATCCCCAGTCTTACTTGCTCCTAAAGTAAATGGCCCCAAATGTTTCCTATTGCTAAAATGGAACAAATACTCCTACTTGCTAACTTTTATTGTACCTTGTCTCAAGAGGTGTTTTCGTGTATTAAATTATTTCTTTCTAATTGCAGCCATGATTTTTGGAAGTTATGTCTGCCCAAGCTTTTAAGCATGCGTTTTCTACAGAAGTTAATTTTTAATATTATTGGTTAATATTGGTAAATAGTTACAGTTGGTCTCTGTTTTGTGTGAGTTTCTGTCAACTATTTGTATTGCAATCATGACTCTGAGATTGTGCTTGATATCCTTGTTTTATTGGATACTACACATATGATCTTCTACTGTGTGTAATGAGGGAGATAATGGAAAACATCAAGATACAATGACAATGTATATGGGTTGTCTCAGAGCTAGGTAGGTTATAGGCCTCTAGAAGCCTCCCATAGAGTGAGCCCTGACAGCTGCCTTTCCCATGGCAGAATCAGCTCATCTATCTTTGCCAGCTCTGTGAAGGAAGAGGAAGAGGCAGAGGAAGAGACAAGCTCCTTTGTCAGCTGGGTTCTTCTCTTTTATTTGCAGTTTTACAGGAGGTGTGAAGGCATGAAGAAAAGGTAAGGTCACAGCTTCTGCTGTACACACATTGCCTTCTTAGGAACTTTCACTGCCTTTACAAGAAATACTGTTCCATAAAACTGAGCCTGAAGCTTTGTTAGGACTCCCATGGACAGGAAGAGTGCATGAAACTCCTGTGGACACTACACACCCCTCCCCACCTTGCCCTGACAGCATCCTGTGTGACAGCTCCTCGCCAAGTCAAGTGCTGATGGCTGGAGGGCAGTGGGCAGTGGGACTCACTGCACTTCTCATATGGCACCAGGGCTGGGAGGGATGCCCATGTTCTGCAGTGAGGCAGGCTCAGACACCCAGGCAGTTTGTGGGGTGGGATCAGCTGTGTGAACCCCAGGGCTGGTGAGGAGCCCTGGCTCCTGGTGTGGATTCAGGCAGGAGGAGACTGTGTCCCTGGGCTGGGTGGAATGCAGTTCCTCAGACACACAGCAAATCCAGCAGGTACCAAAGGAAGAAAACTTGCTGGCTGGGCACTAACTTTCTATTGTGGCTCTTCTCCCAGTGCATGGTCAAACCCTACATTACTCTCATTAGAATAAGCCTCAGTGAAAGCAAAGGAATTTATTATTTTAGCCAGTTATAAGTTACTAATTTCCAGTTATTCCTCATTTCTGTTTTTTTGAGTTGGACTTGATGATCCTGATGGATCCCTTCCAACTCAGTATATTCCGTGATTTTACCTCCTTTTTTTGTTTGATATATTGCAGAAAGCTTGCACATCTTTGCTACCCACCTCTAGGCTCCTTTCAATTCTCATATTCTCTCTAGTTCTGTTTTTATATTCAATTTAAAAATCTCAAATTTAATATATAATGGAGTTCAAAGACTGCAATTTTCATACTAACAATAAACATGAAAACTTGAAGAAAGAAAATGCCACCTTAGTACTGAAAACATGTAATTTCCTGGTGGAAAATATAATCATATTACTGTAAACTCAGCACTGATTTAAAAAAAGACTTTGAAAAACATAGGACAGACTGTTTGCAGATCAGAGTTCAGACTGTTCTCAATACAATATATCCTAAATACAGGATAGCTCTAACTAAAAATCTACCAAGTATCACTGAGGTTTTAGGATGAACTATCATAGTTCTGTCGCTATATCTGTTACATACTTAACTTTGTACTTGGAGATGTCTGTTAGTAGATTTCACCATGTCCACCTTAAGTTAATAATAGTAAACTAAACATAGTAATGTTGTGAAGGTGCTTCCTGTGCTACTTTCATTTGGAAATGTTGTAGTGTATATGGAACACCTTTATAAAAGAAAGATTTCTATTGGAATGTTACATACATTAGTGTTAATAATGAAGTGTTGTGGTAATTAACTATGGTGCTGGTTTTATTTGCAGGTTCTTGTGAATTTCTGAAACCACATCTATAAATATGTAATTATAACACATAGGAAAGCTGCCACTGTTTGTAATGACTGAAAGACAAAGTACAGACAGCAGGAAAGGCTAAATGAAGCCTTCTGTAAATATCAAGTCAATCATTACCTACTCCTAACACATTGGTTTCCATGAGATTGCTTTGCCAGGGACCATGTATCTTTGTGACTGAATCACAAGACACTTGCTGCATTTGCCCATGAGATACTCTCTCTTATTTCTGCTATTAACTCACTGTTGCCAAATACCTATTTGGAAGGCTTCATGGCACCCATTTTGACTCAGATGACCTGCTCCAGCCTGAGACTATTTTCTCCTTCTGGATCTTAGATATTTAAACTGGAGAAGCATTTTTTTATCTTGTGGGAACATGAAGGGTATTCCATTGAAGAAAGCTGTTAAAATTTAGTTAGTCATTTTGAACCTCAGGTTTGATCATGAAAAGTCCAAGGCATTTCATACCTATGATGGCATATGAAATCAAATGAGAAATCCTGCTATTGATTGAGGACTATTAAAATCTGGGTCATATCCTAATAATTATGTGGCAAGAATAGGTTTCTATTCTTTTTGAGAAGAGAGATTTGAATATGGCTTGAGTTCAGAGCTCAGACTTTGTTTCCTTTTTTTTCCACATTATTTCTCTGTGGAATTAGGATGGCCACTAGATATCTCTGTGCCAGCTTTCCACATTTATGAACTGAGACTAGGATTGTGTAGAGGTTTAGATTTGCCAATTTTGTTTTTACACTACAACAATTTTTTGTCACCCCATGACAGATTATTTCTTTATTTTAAGGATAAATATATAAGACTGATACTACCTCAGATAGTAATAACATTTGTACTAGCTAAGCTTATTGTTTGCAGACATTGATAACAATTTTTCACATATTTCTTTCATACTTCTGTGGATACAAGGTGGTAAATATTTTCTAATATCCTGTTAAAATGTAATTCTGACAAAAAAATCAGTCTGCTTTACCTGAAATTACAGGGAAGTGTATCTTGGCCTCCTGTAGCCTATCAGAAGAGCAGGGCCGTGCTTTTTCTTCATGCAGGAGCAACACATGGCTGTTTTCCTAAGATCATGTTGTTATTAGATTTTCAATGTGATTGGGACTGCATGCTGGCAGTTGGTGTCAGAGGTCTCCAAAGTAAATGAAATAAAATAAAATATCCTGCTCAGTCATGTCAACAAGGGCTTCTCAGTGTATGTACATTCAGAACAAGGCCATCACCAGAAAATTAAATAGAGATTTGACTTTATAATAATTCCTAATTAAGTAAACAAAGGTCCAAATACAAGGAAAGGCTGAGATGGGCTATTAATATATAGTGCTGTATTTTCACTTGCAATCCATGTAATTATGTTGCTTGCTGAATCACAACACC